TATAAATTGAATACTCTAATTGTGAATTTATAATTCTTTATCGGCAAACTCACTTATGAATGCAAGACCCGACCATTGTAATAATTCTGACGTAGCGTAATTACTAAATGTTCACATTTTTGGAAAAATTCCATTGTAATGAGGCAGCTTACAACAATGGGTTTATCTTACCATATGGCCTGTAAAAATAACGCATTAATGACCTGTTAGATTACAAGGATTTTGTTTTCTCACCGTCTTTATTACGTTATATTTTATACCAATTAAAAACCAAAATCGACTAACGATACTTTCTGCGATTTGACAGTTTTGCACCTTCAAATAAACATCCAATAAATGACAGCTGTCGCCATCTCGGAGTATATTTTCTAATCAAGTTGGCATTATTACGGAAGTAATTTGACTCATAGTTTTCGTAGGTAATTGCACAAGTGCATCAAAATTACCGATAATTTTTTTGAAAGCATGTTGTCTAAAAACTGCATGAGTTTATTTTCATATTTTGGCGAAAGAGCCCGACACCGAAGGTGGAGGGCTCTTTTAACAACATAAGAAAATGACCGAATGCAGTTTTTTACTGACAACATGCTTGAATAAAAAATTATCATATATAATACCATAAGTAGTCGAAGTATTGTCGAATATTTTTGAGGTGCTGTCACGAATGCTAGTTACGCTGATTAATACCACGAGCGCTTGCTCAAAAATAATCTACAAATACTTCGACTACGAATGGTATTCGGAGGACTATTCAATGAATCAAAAGAAAAATTAAGCATAATTCCCCACGCGAATGTATTTCCATGACAACAATAAACGTCAAAATAAATTACGGAAGGAAGTTGCTTTTCATTTTGCTATTGATTCTATTCGACCTTTTGTGCTCCAAGCTAACTCGTTATGAGTGATTAAATTAAAAGATGTGGTGATAAGTCGGTTGTCGAAATTGCTTAACAAACTAAGAAGAATGTTCCGGTTAATACGACAAAATTTCGCGACAGTTCACTGGTGGAAGTTTGACAAATGTCATTGAATAATCGCATTGAATTGTCGCTGAAATACCACACGTGAAATTATCACTTATAATTGCACAAGAGGTTTGTATTTTACCGAGTAAATTTGGGTTGTTTAGGTAATGAAAATCTGTTGCCTAGCAATTAGACGAGAAAAACTGTCAACTGACAGTTTTTCGAGTTCAATTGCTAAAAGGCAACAGATTTGAATTGCAACAACACAAATTTACTCGGTTTAAATACAAACCTCGAGTGTAATTCGGCAGGACAATTTAACGAACAAGAAATTCACATAACTAATCAATTACTGACAGACGTCAAACTTGTCATATGGGAAAGGATAATGCGATAATTGGTTCGAAAATGAATAAGTGAAAAAACCACTAGTGCATTTGTCGCTGTAAAAGTTGCAGGTAACTTTTGCCGCTGTCAAAGTGACAATTTCACTGCGGCTTATGCGATTTTTTATACATGAGTTGAATTGTCGCTGAAATACCACACGTGAAATTATCATATATAATACCATAAGTAGTCGAAGTATTGTCGAATATTTTTGAGGTGCTGTCACGAATGCTAGTTACGCTGATTAATACCACGAGCGCTTGCGCGAGTGGTAATAAAAAGCGTAACTAGCATGAGTGGAGCAGCAGCTCAAAAATAATCTACAAATACTTCGACTACGAATGGTATTCGGAGGACTATTCGAATCAAAAGAAAAATTAAGCATAATTACCCACGCGAATATATTTCCATGACAACAATAAACGTCAAAATAAATTATGGAAGTTGCTTTTCATTTTGCTATTGATTCTATTCGAACTTTTGTGCTCCAAGCTAATTCGTTATGAGTGATTAAATTAAAAGATGTGGTGATAAGACGGTTGTCGAAATTGATTAACAAACTAAGAAGAGTGTTCCGGTTAATACGACAAAATTTCGCGTCATTTCACTGGTGGAAGTTTGACAAATGTCATTGAATAATCGCATTGAATTGTCGCTGAAATACCACACGTGAAATTATCGCTGGAATACCACACGTGCAATTATCACTATAATTCGTTCCCATTGGCGCAGCAATTTGAAATCGAGACATTTCACTGGTTGAAATGTGACAAATGTTAGATGAATTGAATAGTCAGGTTTATTTTGATGCACGAGTGTAATTTAGGGGAATATTTCCCGAACAAGCATTACTTGTCAAACTGACGTTACCTACTTATAAATTGTCGGTGTATTGTGAAATTGTCCAAAGGAGCTGCCAGTTGCCATGGATATGGACAGTGCAATTATCGCACTATAATGTCACTTATAATTGCACAAGAGGTTTGTATTTTACCGAGTAAATTTGGGTTGTTTAGGTCTTAGACTATGAAAGAGAGGGGACCCGTAATAGAGCGCGCGCGCGTGAGGCAAATTGCGATCATACTGCCACCACCAGTGGCGCCCGCTCGGGTATTACATTAGGAAATTACAATTTATTTATACTGCCATCATGGTATGATTAACCTGTGCGTACAGTTGTCGGACATAATATTAGGTTCTTATCTGAATAGAGAGACAAAAAACGCGATAAACGTAAACATACGACTGGACTTTGATCGTTTCAGAAACAGGGTTCGCGATATAAACGCCATATTATTGAAAGTAAAGGGTTTTTCCGAGGGTTTTTCATTAAGAGCGCTCGAACTTTGAAATGAAATAAAACAACCTGTTTATGTGATATTACCACAAGTTTTATAATATTTTAAAGGATATTCGATGACATTATTTATGAAAAATAATTTCAGTGAAAAGGCCCCCCCGACTCCGCTGTGGACGTTGCATTGTGGTGGACCAATTTTGGACATGTTCGCTTAAACTGGGCTGAATTTCACGAAGAAAGCGAGTTATACTGGTCTTTAGGGCAGCAATTGACTGTGGTAAACACAAGAGTTTATCGAATGTGGAGGCGATCGATGTGTATTGCTTCGAACATCGATCGATGACCTCTCTCTTTTGAAGACCAAATCCTATCTGTCGTACTACATGTAAGTACAAAGGCAACATACACTGTAGTTAAACTACTCCATACAAAGTAATCAGTCGCCTAAGGGTTAGGCATCCAAACATGTACATATCTGTTACGTCATGTAACTAGATATTCACGCCGTCACTGGAATATCGCTTGCAGGTTATATCACTTACTTACTGTAATCGAGAAATTATCAATGAAAAGAAGTATAAAGCAGTATTTTATTGATGCACAAAAATATAGGACAATTGTAAGATTATGAAAATGAAGACCTTAAAAGTGTTTTATTAACTACCATGAAGATTTAATTAAATTTAGCCAAACCAGACAACGTGCCGTTTTTTATCTTGCCTATGAAATGATATTCCTGCTGGAAAACGACCACTGCAACTTTTACAGTTGTACGCAGAACAATTCACCACGTTTATATCACACACTTTTGCACACACAAACTTTATCAATAATGAAGAAATGTCAAAAAATTCACACTGCCACCGCGCTTTGAGTGCCACCGAAAATATGGCGGTCGTCTCGAAATTCGCGTCAAATTCACGCATGCCGTGGATGCGGTATTACGGGTCCCCTCTCTTTCCTTGTCTAAGGTTTAGGTCAAGGATACTATATAATATAAGGATTGCTCGATCCCTATATCAATCACTCTTTATTTGTCCGTATACCAAAAATAGGTTTTGACACGTCAGAAAATATGGTAAATATTAAATTAGTACAATGCATATATATATATATAAAAGGAATAATAAAAACAGTTTAAAATTTCAAATAAATAAAAGCTAGACAGACCATGTGGCTAAAACAGAATATAGATTATAAACAATTTAAAATTTTAGTTAAAAAGAGACAAAACAGAGATAAAATATAAACAAGTAAAGGTAAAAATGACTAGAGAATAGAGAAAAACCACTAGTGCATTTGTCGCTGGAAAAGATGCAGGTAACTTTTGCCCTGTCAAAGGTGACAATTGCCCCTGCGGCTTATGAGATTTTTTATACATGGTTGAATTGTGCTGTAATTGAGCGATTAATTGCACATCTCATATGGCATTTATGACATATGAGGGAATTACGCGCACGTATCGGAGATTTATTAATTCGCTAATGTGCGAAGGTCCGTTTGAAATTGGTAGTTTGAATAAGTTCGTCATAATACGTACGTATTCGTCACCGAATCCCAGTTCGCGCGTAAACGCTTCACTTAGAGACAACGCCTAAGTCATATGTGACGTCACCAACGGACCTGGCTGTCAGAATTGACAGTTATAATTTGCTAAGTTGTCAACGTTTTACATTAGCGTTATAACTGTGTGTATGTGTTCGCTATATTGCAACAAAAATGCTTGGACGCCGACGTGCAGTATTGGACTGTAATAACAATTTGGGGTAGTATTCACATTTTACACTCAACTGGCGCTCATTTTAGCCAGTGTCAAGAAGAACGTCGAGAAATCGTTATTTTAAGATGGACAAAGTTGAAATAAACTGATTTAGCTGCAATTTCCTGATTGAAGAGTACTAAAAACTTGTACTTGACCTTAAACAGCAAATTGTTCTTATTCACTCTTCTAAAAACCTAAAAACAGTTCAAGATACGATTGTTCAAACTCCATTCACAACTTCTTCAAAAACCACCCAAACTGTATCACCTAAATTAAGTAAAAAAAAAAGGGTAACTTCATCAGACAAACAATCACAATCGATTGCACATTCCCGTGACGAGGACGACTTAGTCCAAAAAACTAAATTAAAAAACCATAACCTAAAACAAAATTCTACCTCGAATAATGACAGCAACAAAAAAGTAAAACATACTGAAAATAATCTTTTAAATAAATCTTTGTTTGATGAGATGCAAGAGCTAAACACAAGCATAAAAATTAACGTAAAGCATCAAGCAGCTCCAAAAACATGTAAATCTAAATCAACAGTATCGAATACTGAATGTATAATAAAAACTAAATATCAAAACTACAGAATTTATTTACGCTTATACAAAACTTCTAATTCCAACGAGACGTAAGAAGAGAATGTCCCCTTTTACAACTTATCCCGTATATGTAACATGATATACCGACCGATCGCCACCCTCAGCCGCCAATGACCTTCTTTTTTTTGTGGCCAGTCTGGATGCAAGTGTGACCCTCGTTGTTTACTTTACAGTCGGCCAAGCTACCATTATCCACGTCCCCGTGGAACACATACCGCCCTATAACACAAAGTGGTATAAAAATTTACCCAGCCACATAACATTAATATAGTAATTTAAATTTGTTTGCATACAGTTTGTGTCCGTAGACGATTAATTTACGGATCATTCTCCTCTTTGTAATCTGTAAACAAAATGAATTATTCGTCACCTGAATCCACGTCGGATTCAGAACTGATATCGTACGATAAGACCTTCATCTTATCAAGAGGCACGATGCCTTTATATCTTCTCTGCGATCGAGAAGATCCTTGCAAGTCCTCGACCACGAATCTATCATGGTCCAAGACTTTCGTGATAACGTATGGGCCATTATATTTCGGCAATAACTTTTTGCTTTGACCCTCATTGCTAGTTATTTTCGTTCTAACTAACACTTGATCACCCTGCTTAAATGTCCGACCGACACACCTTTTAGCATCGGAACGACATTTATTATCTCTTTGCCGGGCACCAATTTCGATTTTTGCTTGCTCTCGAATCGTATCAAGGCCAGCACGTTCAGCAGGTTCTAGCGCTATTTCGTTGTCTAGAACAGCATTGGCAACACCCCTTGGGACGTACCCCAAAAGTATTTCATATGGGGACTTCATCGTAGCTGAATTCCTCGTAGAATTCAGGCCCCACTGAACTTTGGATACATGTCATCCCACTTATGCTCATCATCCGTAGATGTAGCGGGTTGGGCAAGTATCGTGCGATTGTACCGCTCAACTTGGCCATTCGCTCTCGGGGTTGCCGTTACATTTAACTTTTATTCAATGATTTAACACATGTTTAACACTCATTTCCTTTAAAAATTCCTGAAATCGTTTACTAATATAACAACTTCCTCTGTCAGATATCACCCTTCCAGGTACCCCAAATTCTCGAAAATACTTGAAAAAACGTAATTAGAGGTTTTACCTTCGTCAAATGAACTGCTTTTAAAAAGAGGTATTTAGTAAAAGCGTCAACAACTACAATTGAAAATTTAGAGCCCGGTAATCAACGCACATACGTTGGTCACCGTTCTTTTTTTTTCACTAACAATATCGGACTACGGTGAATCCGATTCGCGAATTATATTGTTTTGCAACAAACCGTCAACTACCTCTCTCACGACTTTTCGTTCATCGAATGAGAGCCTATAGGGACGACAAATAACAAAACTGTCATCGTCCAATTTAATTGACATTTTCAACACATCTGTTTTTGATATTATTGTAAATCATTTTCGGTATAGTTGTGACTATTGTGAACCGACGTACCCAAAACAGGTATATCTAACAGAGATGTAACATCTTCAAAACAAGGAACACATCTAACTAAAATATTTTTGGGACTTACCTCAATATCGTGTTGAGATAAGTTGTTTATCGTTACGTACCCATCGTTGCCGTTCGTTATGCAATGCAGGAATCCCAGAGGTGCTCTCTGCCAGGAACCGCTCGTAAGTTTCCTTGGACAAGTAGGTACATCACCATCGTAGGCGCCTCTTGAAGTAACCGCAACCAATACTTTAGTCCTTGCCTGTACAATGGTGCGGTCCTTGGCCCACATAGGGATCTTGCGCTCGGGTAAATCCAAACCTTTAGCGTTGTCGGCGTCTGCATCAAGAATCCTTACGGTCCTTCCCATAACCAGCATTATAGTTTTTTCATGATTTAAAAACGTTTGACCGACCATAACGGGAACGTCTTGGATGTGAGTCGGCACAATAAAAACTTCGACAGGTAGTTCAACTTCGTCCACCTTTAAATTTACCACTGCACTTCCCAATGCTTTCACTTCACAACCACCGTATCCAATTATATTAACCGTTGAAGCTGAGTACTGCATTGACAATTCCTGAGCTTCTTTTTCTCGAACGAGCACTGCGCCACACCCTGAATCAACATAAGACCGCAAAGGTTTTCCGTTTACCCAGCAGTCAAAAAAGTACGATTCCGCTACGCTTTTATTTCCATTTGCACTGGAACGCCTTCATATTGGCCTTCCGATGTTAATAAAACTCCCGATCTCCTAGACTTTTTTATCACAAAAGGAATTTCGTCCCTCTACACCCAAGCAATATCTAAACTAGATTTGTCTTCTGACCATACACCTGTTATAGCCACGATAAGCGCAAGCGTAATAACAACGCCCAAAAAGCCCTCTCTATATAACGCGAGAACGAACTGGGATTTTTTTCGAGAGCAACTTGAAACCAACTATCAACTAAAATGGCCACTTAAAACGGAAAAAGACATCGACGAAGCAATCAACCAGGTTACTTGTATTATCCAAGAAGCAGCCTTCCGTTCAACACCAAAACCAAAAGAAACAAACGAGGCAAATGTTAATATACCGCTACAAGTAAGGGAGAAAATCGCTGAAAAAAGAAACTCCAGAAGAGGGTGGCATCGCAGCAGACATCCAAACGACAAGACAGTTTATAATAGAATAACCAAAGAGCTAAAACAGCTAATGTTTCAAATCAAAAACGAAGCTATTGGAGAGTACTTGCACACCTTGACACCAAACTCTCAAAGTGATTACTCATTGTGGAAAGCGACAAGGAAATTAAAACGACCTTGCCTGCAAATACCGCCAATCCGAAACAAAAACGGCTCCTGGGCTCGGGACAATAAAGCTAAAGCTGAAGTATTCGCCGAACATCTGTCCAACATTTTTCGACCACATCCACCCGAAAACAACGCGGATGAGAAAGAAATATTAGACTTTCTGGAAGCCCCAATGCAGATGTCACGTCCAATAAAACACATTAGACCAAGGGAAATCTGGGACGAAATAAAACTTTTAAATACCAGTAAAACCCCCGGATACGATCTAATAAGTGCCCGCACATTGAAAGAACTTCCCAGGAAAATCATAGTAGCTCTGACAGAAATCTTTAACGCTGTATTACGAATCCAGTATTTTCCAATCCAATGTAAGTTTGGACAGATTATACTTATACCAAAACCGGGAAAGCCTCCCCAGGAAGCTGCATCTTACCGACCAATAACACTTCTGTCATGCTTATCTAAACTACTAGAAAAGTTAATATTAAAACGCCTTAAGCCATTAATCCACGAAGACATTACTCCAGACCATCAGTTCGGCTTTCGAGAAAAGCACTCGACAGTAGAACAAGTTCATCGAATTGTCAAGATAATAGGAAATGACTTAGAAGAGAAACGGATATGCTCAGCAGTATTCCTGGACATCAAGCAGGCGTTCGACACTGTATGGCACATCGGTCTGTTGCACAAAATCAAAAAACATCTTCCTCATCAATATTACCTGCTTTTCAAATCATACCTCTCGGAGCGATATTTCCAAGTTAAACAAGACCAAGAGTTGTCGGAATACTACTTAATACAAGCCGGAGTGCCCCAAGGAAGCATTATGGGTCCCATACTGTATCAGCTCTATACTGCGGACATACCAACCTCCGAAAATACAGTAACTGCCACATTCGCAGACGATACGGCAATTTTGGCATCGCATAGAGACCCTTTGGAGACAACTAATAGGTTACAAAGCGCTTTAAATCAAATAAACATCTGGACTGAGAAGTGGAGAGTTAAAATAAATGAAACCAAGTCAGCTCATGTAACATTCACCTTGCGACATATCGATACTCCTAACGTACATTTAAACGGAGTTATAATTCCAAAACAGGAAAAAGTTAAATATCTAGGTATTCACTTGGATCGACGCCTCACATGGAAAAACCACATCATTGCTAAAAGAAATGAAATCAATATAAAATTGAAAAGGATGTACTGGTTACTGGGAAGAAGATCAACACTCACCATTAACAACAAACTACTACTGTACAAAGTAATGATCATTCCTATATGGACATATGGCATCATGCTGTGGGGTTGTGCCAAAGCAAGTAACCTAAACATAATTCAACGTACTCAAAATAAAGCCCTAAGAACCATCGCCGACGCTCCATGGTATATCAGAAATGAGACGTTACATAACGACTTAAACATAACAACAGTCAAAGAAGAGATAAGGAAACGCACTGAGAACTACATCGCACGACTACATCGGCACCCAAACCCATTAGCTATCAACCTTTTGTTAGATGAGGAGCCCAACAACCGAAGACTACAGATAAACCATGTGTTAGATAATGTGTAAAAATTTTAAAATTGTTAGGGAGTAGCTCCAGTGGGAGCAACCCCATTCAAGTCAGAATCTTTCACAACTTTTGCTTGTTGGCCTAAAAGGCTAGTTGTAAATTAATTGTTTCAGTAAAAAAAAAAAAAAAAAAAAAAAAAAAAAAAAAAAAAAAAAAAACTTATCAAATGAGTTTTCACAGTAAATGGAAATCGTCTACATTCTTTTTCCGAATGTCCCAAACGCCTGCACTTTTTGCACTCTAACCTCGGTTTTGGGCACTTATTAGAAAAATGTCCCGTTTCCTTACAGTTGTAACAGCGCGAGGCCCTTTTCTCATTACCGAATTCCATTTTTTTGGGAGAGGAATCAGTCAGGTTCTTTTGGACATTCGCGGTGTCACGATGTGATACCTTTTCGATTGTAGAAATTCCGGATGTGAGTGTCGAAAGATATTCCGCATAAAGCAGACTTGGTGATTCGTATCTTCCTGCTCGCGCTCCCGCCTGAAGCGTCGCGTCCGGAATTCCGTCAATAAGGCACGACACTGCTTTCTTTCCTTTAATCTCGCATGCGTTTATTAGTTCCATTTTTTCAAAATAATAATGCTCCCAAGATTCGTTACTCGACTTTGTGCGCTGAACGAGTTTTCTTAAAACTGTGGCAAAATCGTGATGTTCGGGAAATGATTTTACTAATATCCTTTTCCATTCTACCCAAGTATAATCGTACGTTTTTAAGTTTTCGTACCACTTTTTCGCCAAACCAGTTAACCGATTCTGCATATGGTAAACCGTTGTTGCATCGTCCCACATATTTATCGCGCTTAATTGCTCTATCTTATGAATCCATTTGTTAATGGATAGATTTGGGTTTCCAGGGGCGAATTCTGGTATACATTTGGATTTTCCCAAAAACTGTCTGTTATATACTTTCGTCTCACTTCGACTTCTTATCAATTTCTCCACCAAGTTCTCTAATCGAGTGATTTTATCACTAGGAGGGGGCGAAGGTGTATTTATCTCGCGACTAGTGGATGGCTTAGGGGACACGTACCTTTTTTCGTTGTATAATTTATGACGTCTTTTGGTACCACGACTACGTGATTCGTTTCCGTCTGTGCTTGAACTCGTAGAATCCGAGTCATTTGATGAAGACGACGATCTGGATCTGTGTCGACCCATTTTCTTTATCAAATAGCACTAATATTGCGTGACACACCAATATTGCGTGACACACCAAAGGCGCTTTCTTTCGGTGATCCAAACGCGTTTGGATTGTCAAATCACGTTCTTTCGAAGTGTGATCTTATAATCATGATTGCTAAAATCGTGAACAAACTGAACATAAAAGTATTTTGACACGAATTCCTAACCTATAAATGCAAGGATATTCTGGATATTTTTGCTCAAATGTTAGATTAGTCAATATTTGTATAGCATAATCGTGCACGTGCTTCCACTTGTATTTAAATTATTTTCATAATCCAAACAAAAAATACGTATGTAATTCGAATGCAAATGTGCGCTACGTAAACTTAACCAAACTTTGATTCAAATTCGCGCGTTCTTTCGTAAAACGTGATCCTACGAATCACGATCTCGAAATCATGATTGCGAAGT